GCTCTGCCTTACAGTTCATAATGCGATATCTGGCGAGAACTGACTCATACTTCAGCAAAAGTTTTGCATTATATTTGAATTTTAATTTATGTCATTCTCTAATCACATTTAACTCCTTTCATTTCACTTTTAATGATTGCATATTTAAAAATAAATAATTTGTATACTTAAATAGATTTATAGGAAATATTGATTATATTTGCAACAAATATATCTATTGATCTGACAATGAGTGCAAAGTTGATATAAGAGTGGGAATAATCAATTTTGAATAGGAATTTGACAACAAAAATAAATTATGAGTTAATGAAGTGAATAAAGTGTCTCTAAATATTGATTTGTAATCAAACTTAAGAGACAGCAGAAGATGTGTTGTACTGTTTCTCTGCTCTTTTGGGAGAGAAAGACATTAAGAAAATAAATACTGTTTTTGTTTCACAAGTGAATGCATTCATTCATTCGGTGTATTACAGTATAATGGAAATCAATTGATAGAATACTACATATAAGACACGGATATAGAGTTAGTTTTGGGTTTATTTTCTACTTTTATATTCAACTCAATTTACTTTTCAAGTCATTGTTTTAGAAATATTTGACAAAAAAGAGTACAAAAGAACAATAGGTTTGTGGAGATAATGATATATGAATTGATGCATTTGGCAGTATTAGTAGCGGTGGGTATACATTCAAATTGGCGCTAATTTAGTAAAGGTTTTGCTTTAAAATAAGTGCAGATCTAATGATATGTTATGTTATGTTTTTAGGATGTGATACAAGAGATTGTTACGAATATTACGAGTGTTTCTCACGCCAACCATAACTGAGTGGTCCTATTCTGGTCAGGACTTAGAGTCAGACAACAAGCCAAACGTATATTCAATTGTTTTAACATAAGTAAAGGCAATGCCACCAGAAATACATAATAGAGTAGTGTTTTGAGCGCATAATAAGCGGGTCTGAGAGGACTACCAGTGAAGTGTCGGTGCAGAGTATGCCTGAGCGCTGAGCCAACCGGCTTTCAACGCATATTTAAGCTCAAAGCAAATGCTTATATGGTTTGCATTGAGTCCACAAATAGAAGGAAAGGCCCTATAAATGGACGTCATGTGGCCTTAAATATGAAAATGATTCAAAAATGACTTCATTTATGGCATTAAAATTGTCAAATGAAAGCCAATGACTACTAAAACAAATTATATCCTCATTTAGATAAATAATTACTATTAAAATAACAATTAAACACTGAATGAGCGAAATTAAAGCGCCGGGAAATCAGACATTAAAACAGTGGCTTATTTTCATTGAAAACTATTTTGTCTTTTTATTTCGCTTTCGATATAAAAATAAAACGACAAAACTATTAAGGCTTTCAGACTTAACCAGCAATTTTTGGTTTTCAAAAACACAAATACCAGCAACAACAAAAATCAAATTAGTGTTTATTATTGTATTTAAACATAAAATTGTAAATTAAAACACCATTTCTTTTAATAATCTGCTGTGAAGTAGTTTTCATAATATGTTTATTATGTCTGAAAACCTGTAATTTTATTATTACAATAAAATACCAAATGTTTGTCTAATTTAAATCCGATTTATAACGTTATAAACATTGATTCGTCAAAATATATTACTTTTATAAGTTATAAAATTTATTAAATGTTTCTAAAAAGCCAAAATACTACCAAACTCAATGGGTTAGGCCTTATTAAGGCCTATCCAAGGTACCAGACCGCGGGTAAGGCCTTATTCTTGTAAAGTGCAAAACTAGTCATTATATTTACTTATATTTATGATAATTTTTTAAATAAAAGGTTTGTAACAATAAGTTTAAATTAAATTGAGAATAAAACTGCAAAATCTTTTGATTATACTTTTGAAAATGTAATTTTCCAAAAACTCATTTAACATTTATATTATATTTGAGTTTTTTATTTGGAAAGAATGTTAAGCTTTTCTCCTAATTATTACTGATTATTATAAGTAATAATAAATAATTCAAAAGAGGACTCAAATCGGCTGATAAATAGTCGGCGTCGGCACTGATCTGAAGCTTAATTAAAAATAAATTAAAAACTCGTTTCTCTGCGATGTTTCGCTTTCGCTGTTAAGGTTTGAAATATTTTCAAAATTAAAATAACACGACATTCAAGAGAGTGGACCAGTTTTGTGACAATTGTCAGGCCTTGACCTGAGACGAGTGCTAGTAAAAGGATCTGACAATTGCTAGGATTGCCAGTTATAAAACAAAGTATTTTCTGTAATATGACTTTCACTTTACTTATGTAACGATTGCGCTTTTAGTGCAATTATGACCTCAGGCCCTATATAGCGCTATAAACTCATAAAACACATGCAAACCATAGTTAAGCCAAATACGATCCAATGCTATAAAACTATAACCTTCACCACTCACACAGACTTCTCACCCGATTGTCTCATGTCCAGCACAGGTATTATATTGAGATCTGATCCACAAGAGTCAGTGTCTCAGCATATTTCAGATGGTCAACACATCCCTTATATTGTGGTCAACATATTATATGACAATGTGGTCAACATATCCTCTCATATTGTGTGCCAAAGTGATAGTCAACATATCATAGTACTACTTTAGCTATCATTGAAAATTGTGCTTATATTAATATTTGGTGTTTGACTTAAATTTGTGATTTAAATAATATTAATGAAAGTGCTGTAGAGTAGAAAATCTAAAATAGTTTCATTTGAAGTCATATCTAACTTATAGTGGAGTCGATTTAATATAAAGATTGGTTGGATTGTGTGGGTCTATAAGTCTGTCGCATAGAAATATTATTCAATTACATTAATGTGAGTACGGAATGCCTTTTTGGCTGAGCTCTTGTGCATAACTACTCTCTTTCATCTGTTATCTGAGTGTATCAGCAGTTGAATCATTGATTGGATGGGATATGAGCTGAATGTCTGCCAAACCCTATATTTATCTAAAGAATATAGAAATAAATTGAAAGCAAAGGCCACTTAAGAGCGTATCGTGAATTGGGGAATGGGATGCGATTTTTAATTTAGAAAATTTCTAATTTTAAGAGATCATTGCCTTTGCTTTTGACCAGAAAAAGAATAAAACAGAAAATAACGAATACTTTGTAAAGACTGCAAAACTGAGAGAGAGAGAGAGAGAGAGAGAGCGGCACAAAGAGCCAACATAGACATAGCCAGCAGAATTGGTTTAGCTTGTATTGAATGGAGACCAGACTGAATGTAATTTAGTGTTGGATATAAAGCAATGATTGGTTGTTCACATAAAATGGATGGAAGTCAGGCGATGCCCGTCCACTGAATCACTGTTTCAAACGCTATACACATAAAAACAAAGATTGCATTCCATGTTATGTTTTGAAACATTTTTCAAGTCTGTATTATGTATTAATATTTGCTATCATATCAAAAGTCATTGCGAACGCAGCAAACAATTTATAAGTAAATGAAATACAACTCAAAAACTTCTAATACATTGTAACTGAAGGCATATTTTATAGATAGAGCCCTTCATTTGTTGCACTGCAATAAAATAATACATAAATTTTATATGAATTACTACTATTCAAGATCAACCTGTTCTCCCTGTCCTCCCTGTCCTCTATGTTCTCTATTCTTTAACTACAATCCACTCCAAGACATAATTAGAGCGAAGGAAATACATTCACTACTCATTCACTGACTGTCAGCCAAACTTTTATTATTAATAAAAATACATTTTATAAAACTTCTAACGATTCACTGCTGCGAATACAACTACTAAACAAATCAATTATTAGATAAATCTTAAATGATTATTAAAATATGTTTTAGTATAATTATAAATTAAGAATACTATAAACAAAACTTATCGCATGAAATCAAATGCTATTTTTAGTCAAATACTATACCCAAGGCTGACCTCAATCACAAAGAATTCTACTTTTCAAACCTATACTATACTATTATCGCAATCATGACAATCGTTATTCAAGACAATCAGTATTTTTTATTGAAAAACTTATAAAACTAAAGTTTTATATTAAATTATAAATAAAATTCAATAATAGTTGTAAATAATACATTATTAACACAACCACTCTCTTGGTTTGAAATAGATTTTTAATAAAACAAATTATTCTTAAAATAAGTTTATAAACAAAAATTGATTCAATAATTGTTAACTTCTAATAATTGAGGGGAAATGATGGATGGGGTAAATGGGAGGCATAGATGGTAATAGATATGAGACATGAATATTTATATAAATAAAAGTGAGACTCGTTTGAGACTTGAGTTATCAAAATGTTTTGTTATTTGTCATTATAATTAAAATACGACATCAAAATGCATGGGTTATACACAATATCATATGATTTGAATTGAAAAGATTTAGTGTTTTGGATGACAACTGAACTTATAAATACGTTTTACAACATTTGAATTGAGACCTGAATTAGTTGTTATAATGTATTGTGAAAAGAAAATAAAATTAACATTCATTTAATGAGTATTGAGAAAGACATCGTGTAATTGGTTTCTAAAGAATGATTGATTTAAAAATTGTTACTTTCAATGATTATGTTTTAATCAGCAAATCATACCAATGCTTAACCCGGAGGACAACTACAGAATACATCTTAATATTAATATATAATACAAAATTGTTTTGTTTGCTGTTTTTAGTCTAAAATACTCGTATACATAGTGTTTCGCTCTACTGTCGGTTACAGTAATATTGATATTTTAATAAGAAGTAAATATATTTAATATTTTATTTTTGTTGCAAAAACTTCTAACTATAATATATGACAATTGGAAATAATTTACAGTAAATATGAGTCAAAATACTGCATATCATTTGTGTAATTAAAGCAAATAATTTACGTATACTTATTGAATGTACGTCTCGTATATTGAATTATAGTATAATATAATAGCTAACTTATAGACAATAGTTTAGGTAAATAATGAATTCATTTAAATGCTCATCAATTGCACGTTTAAGCATTTCGTATACTTGTGATTCAATTCACTTCTCGCTACAAATCATCTTTAGTATTATATCCTTAGGTTCATATAAATCATGACAAGTCTTGTACTTTATTTATAATATTTATAAATCGTATATAATTGTAAAAGTAATGCTGATATTTATCTTAAAATTTAACTCAAAAATAAGTCGCAAACAAACAAATCAGACGCAAAACCGATGGTTTCAGTGTATATGAAGAACACAACAAAATGAAAACTAATTTCTCTGACCTTTTCGTTCAATTAAGTGATGATTTTCATGATATATCTTATGTCTTAGTGGTGTTGTCGGCGGTGGTGGAGGATGAGGTGGACTGTAGTTTGCTGGCCTGTGCCTGTCTCTCCTGTTCATTGAGTTCCTTAATCGCTTGGATCTCTTTCTTCAGTTTCATTCTTCTGTTTTGGAACCATATCTTGATCTGCCTTTCCGTCAGACACAGCGAGTGCGCCATTTCTATGCGTCTCCTGCGAGTCAAGTAGTGGTTTGTGTGGAACTCCTTCTCCAGCTCTAGTGTCTGGTATCTGGTGTACGTCTGGCGACCTCTCCTGCGAAGACCATTAGCACCGGCCAGGCCTACGGTGGGTCGGAATAGATCCAAATTAGGCAAAGAAAGTACAGTAATTTGATATTTGTTTGCGTTATATAACTCTTAAGTTATATAACCATTGCTTGTGTAGTATTGCGTGAATTGCGAGACACTTTTCCTCTCACAAAACAATTTCCTTTTAAAAGTATTGTAAAAATTTATTTTTAGTGCAAAAACAGATCCACTGTTTGTAAAGGAGTCGTAAATTTGGAGAATTTTTGGGCGGTTTTACTCATTTGAATGCAAGTGACAGTCGGTATTGACTGATGGGAGAGAGTGTGGGGACAATGGCTCTCATCCACACTAATACCTGGCAATTGGTTGACGTAACATATAATAGCAATTGATGCAAATCTTATGCAATAAAATTAAGGCCCAAAAGTAGACACTCTTACCAAACAGAACCCATCACTCAGTCATAGGTCTTCACTCATGAGAGACACTCTTAAATAGATATCACTTTTGTTTGATTTGACTAAAAAATAAATTCTCCATATTTTCATATTATGATTTATGTTATTTTTATAAATAGTTATATAATATAGTCATTAAAGCAGGTTTTCAAACATTTAAATGACATGTTTTGATGACATATTAGTGATAAGAAGGGGAATTAGTTCACTGATGATTCAACACTAATCGTAAGTATTTCTCTTTTTTATATGAATTTAATTATTATTTCATTCACTTATTCTTTCTATCGTTTCATCGTTTTTTCATATTTTAACACAAATTTCTACACTGTATTACTCTATTATTTGATAATCGGGTTTATAGTGTTTCATAAATAATAAACAAAATTTATCAAATTTTCAGTTAAGTTTAAACGCTTGTTTAGTCAATGACATACAAGAATTGAAATATTACTTTAACATGATTTTAAGTTGTTATTTAAAATAATAATTTGGATAACAAATGCGTTCATTTGCAAATATATGATTTTTGAATTATAATTTCAAATAAAGGATATAAGGTTTGACTTCATAGGTAGCTACAGTCAAACCTATTGAGTATATGATAGTATGGAAAACCTAATAAATGTAGGAATTCTTATGAAACCTATACTAACAAGTAAGTGAATGTATATTATGTAAACGGGTTAGTTTTCAATCCTTAATCATTACCAGACTCATTTAGCTTTCTTTTTTCTTTCATATCTTTCATTTTATCTAAACTTTATTTTAATGCATATTTTGACATAAAATTCAATAAACATATTATAATCCCATTATAAATTGTATAAACTAAAAATTGAAACCACAACATTTTCAATTTTTGAATAAGAAACGTATTTTATAAAACTATTTAAAGTAATTTTGAGACAATAATAATATTTTGGTGAAAATGAGTTATTATAATAAAAAGTAATGTCTTAAGAGGTACGGGACTGGGCTTTGAGTGTTTAAGTATGATGTGCTATAAAACAATGTTTTATTGCTATCATAATTATGAGTTCAGTTATTTCAAAGGATATGTCATAAAACCTATAGCTATTGACTAATAATTTTCTATTATTACTAACTAACAAAGTATCAAATTATTTAACATATTTCTTAATTCAAAACGACCACTAAATACCATTATATCACATTTTTAATACAATTTCCCCATTTCTTTAAACTTCAAACAAATTCAGTCATATAGTGAGCCCAACCCAACCCAAAAAACCAGATTTTAGAGTGCCTTCGCGTAACACAAATACTTTCAATTTCAAGTTGATCTCTCTCTCTCTCTCTCTCTCTCTCTCTCATATTGACAAACTGCTAGCATTTATGTAAAATGATTCAGTTTTGAATGATAAAAGAAATGGTTGGGTAGAACGGCAACTGTAGGTCTGTGAGTGGTTTCGTATATGTGTGGTAAGGTATGATGGAGTAAATAAGTACCTGCAATGGCCATCCAGGGGTAGAAAGCATTGGGCGGACCACCGACTGCTGCCCCCGCCATTGTTGTGGTATTACAACAGCCGGCTGTCCAGTCAGACATGGATCGGGAACAGGCGGCTACAGCCGCGGCGTCGAAATTTCGCATTTCGGCTGACATTGCCGTAGAGGAAGGCGATGGCCGTAATGAGTTGGGCCAACCGGCGCTCATTTGGTGATCGCCAGGAGTTTTAAACCCATTTTGATCTTTAGTGAGACCGCAATCCCTTAACGCCTCGCTCTTAAATGGCTGGGCATTGGAACTGTCGTATAGTTTACTGCCGTCATAGTTAAAGCCGTCCGACTGAATGCCCGTT